TTAGGAAGTAATCTTAACAGCAAGACTCATTCAAACTTGTTAACTTATGCATAAATCAGTAAAGCGCTAAAATTTTGGAATGCCTGAAAAATGAATAAAAGGAGTGAGGCACTGCGAATGACGTAAACATTGAAAAGGTTGTCTACATTACATTATATAATATAAGTCTCCAATTCGATATATCTCATGAGTTAGCCAATAGTTCGTCTTAACCTCTTAACCTGCGCTACCATCTCAACGTAATGGATCTGCCATAGGTGAGAGAGTTACGCAACTGTGTGGAATGGGAAAAGACTTCTAGTCACATACTATGTGACTGTATTTTTTTTTGATCATATCTGAATGTTAGAGAGACAGATGTCTATTGTTAGAAATCTCTCAATGCAAACTCAATTTTTCGCTTAATTAATATCAGTTACACAACAAAAAATCTTCTTCTTTAGTAATACAATACTGGTAGCCTGAATGTCTCTATATGTGGTAATTTTTTGATTTAAAAAAATTACTAACATTTTAAATTCTATTAAAAAAATTATTATAATTAAAAGAAATTTCATCGGACAGTATATTGGACATGTCAAAATATATCAATAAATATTATATATAATTTAGCTGTGTTAATTAATATCAGCTTAATAATATTTTTACTATCAATGCTGCAAATTGTAAATATATATTAATATTAGTTTTAAACACAAAGAATTATGTTTTATAGATAAAACTTGTCATCCACAATTTTAGAAAAAAAATTATAAATGTTCAGTTCAAGATCCCTTCAACTTCTCATTTCAAGCTATAGCATTTTAAATAGCCGTTCTTCTAATAATTCTAGTATTTTTAAGCTTCAAGTAATTAATCCTCTGGACCATATTTCTATATATATGTATTCGTGAGTATATGTATGTATAAATATGTAATATGCATTTAATTTTGATTAATTATTTTCTATTTCTGATTTGTACCAAATTTTTTAAAAAGGTACGTGTACAATATATCATAACATTTCCATAAAATCCTTTATCAAAGCAGTTTAGCTCTTCAACTAATTTTCATTTTGTAACAATATTTATTATAAAAACGATTATTTATATATTATATATTTCTTTAGGAATGTATGTAGGTAGGTATTCATGCAATTTATATGTATATATGTATGTTATATACGAGTACAATAATAATTGTTTATAATATTACGTCTTCTTTCATAAAAATATTCCATTTAACATTTTAAGAGTTTTAATATTTCAATATCTTTAATAAAATATTTTTGTACAATTCTGTAAATAAATATTTTTTTTTTCTAAGAGGAGAAAAATAATTTTTTTAAGTACTTTTTTCTTGTGCGTTTAAGAATTTTACTCAAATTTTCTTCGATACGAGTATATCAAGGTACAAAGTTTTTTTCTTTCAAATTAATACAATATTAAATCAATTTAAAACCAAAATTCAATTTTAAATATTTGGACATTTTTCTACTTAACCCACATTGAGAAATACAATCATTATGTTATTTTTTCTTATATAAAAAGCAGCAATTACAATAATGACTAGATGTTCTATATATATATATATATATGTCTTTACATATAAATATCTATAAATTAAGTTTTTTAAACATTCAAAGCACAAAATATCATAAATTATTATATAAAACGCAAATTTTTTATAAAACAATCAAAATATGCTTTGCCACCTTCAAAATAGGTCAAATATGACCATGTCAACTATTGACCCAATGCTAACACTTTTTTCGCAAAGGTATGGCCTTCAATTCCTTAGGCGAATTTATTAATGGCTGCAATCGAGCCGAAATTTCTTTCTATTTCTTTCTTGAAATGGTCATTTTAGAAAATGGAATAACAGCTCCCTGTGATTTACCGCAAAGGCCTCTTACAAAAATCAAAATTAAAAATGAAAATTTTTTAATTAATTATTTTGGATAAATACTTTATACACATATAACTGTTCCAATAACAAAGACTCTAGCTTCCGTGTTTTTTCTATTCTTATTTTCTATTTATATCCACGGTTGCCACTTGAAAATTTTTTTCTGTACCAAAATTGGTTTAAAAAGGTACCATTTCTGTAAAAAAAGGTCCAAAATTTTTTTGGACCTTTTTGTTTTCTCGTTCTGTGTTTTTTATAGTGTTATAAATGAACAAAATATAAAATAGTGCAAAGTTGCATTTATAAAAAAAATTAATTGGAAATATCCACAATAAAGTTGGGTCGTCAAAAATGTACCAGTTTTTGAACATGAGTACCAAACGAAAAAAAAAAAAAAAAGTACCAATTTTGGTACTAAAGTACCATAAGTGGCAACCGTGTTTATATCTCTATTTGTCTCTCTATTATATCTCCGTTATCTCTATTTAAAATGATTGGATTTATATTAAAATATATATGGTACATAATACCACTTTTAACTATACAAGTAGGTTCTAGTTCTCATATATAAGTTAACGGTATTCTACCAGATAGAAATTACTTTAGAAGTTATTATTATGAACAGCGCGTATAGTCGCTTCAGGGGGTGAATCAGTGGTCCACTATTAGCCACCAGTTACAAATTACCCCAAATAAGTGATTTGGGGTCTATATTTTGTTTAATAATTTTTGATTACTAAATAGTATTTAATAATGCTGTATTTTGTTAAATAATATATTTTTATAGTATATATGAAATTATTAAAAAAAAGTATAAAAAATGACTGTTATTATGACTACTTTTATATATATATAATCGTTCATTTTATTTTATTAATTTTTTTTTTATATATATTTTGCTGTACTTGTAAATAAGATATTTCAATATTTCAATTCACTTGAGAAATAGCTGGTAAATAAAATATAAAATATATAAAATAGTGTGTTTTAATGTTTGTTAGATCCAACCTATTTTACACTCTCAGATATATCATATACTTCAAACAAAAATTAAAAAATTTTTATATATATGAATATACTATATATGAATGAACACTTGTATCAAATCACTATTAATAATTGCCGCTTTTTATTTTGCCATAATTTTTGTTATATTCAAAATATTTTATTATATAAATTATTCACAATTTAATGAGTTTTTATTTATAAATAAACAATATATTATCAATTTTTATAATTTAAAATTATTTTAATTAACTTTTAGTCTTTTTTGTTTAATGTAAAAAATTTAAACTAATTTATTTATTTTTAATTTGAGATAAATATTTTAATGTATATATGATTTTTGTTTTGATGCATTTTTTATTTATAAAAAAATAAATTAATATTTTTAATATCTTTTCGTAGAAGAAATATTTTTTAAGTATTTTTTAAGTATTTATATATAAAGTATTTTATGGGTGTTAATAATGCTAACACGAAAAAACTTTTTAAAACTTTAGGTTTTTATTTTTAATAAGATAATTAATAAATTTCAATTTATTTTACTTTTACTAATTTATTTTTTCAGTTCCCAAAATTCAAACATATATAAGATTTATACTCTATCTATATTCTTTTTAATAGTGTGAAATTAAATTTTTAAAATTTTTTAATACACATGTAACAAATTATTGTATTTTAAAAATACCTCATTTATATCAAAAGCCATTATGTTTTAAAAAATTTATAAAATTGTATTTCAAAAATACTTTCCGTTTCATATATGTATATATCTATCATCAGGTATAGGTATATTGATAAAGCGATTAACACTTTATAGATTAAAAAATTTGGAATGCTATCATATAGATAATGTATATGATCAACTAATTTTATATAGTTAAATTTTAAGGTTTACAAACTATCGATAATTTGTTTATATTATTAAAATATGTTATCGATTAATATCAGAAATTTTATTTAATAAACGGTTATCGATTTAAGAGTATTTCAAAGAATTTTCTTTTTGTTTTAAATTCTGATTAATATCATATCAATTATTTATTAATCTTTCATAGTGCTATTTCTATCGAATAAAGTTCGGTTATGACAAGAGAACATATCAATCTGACATAGATCAATGCAGTTTTCCTTCGGTTAGATATAAAGATATGCTCTCAAAAGATTTCGATAACAAAAAATCAATTTTTCAAATATTTTTCTAAAATTCTACAAAATAATGGCTTCCAATTTTAAAAACATTCAGTATGTTATATTATGCTTTATAAGGGGCGTAGTAGACCCGATAATCGCAGTACCACATCGCCTCTAAATAATATGGGTATATATGCATATTATATTTCAAGAAATGTGACGAATTTCTTGAAGCCTTTTAAGGTAGTTAATCTCACACTAAACATATAGCAGATTCCATGTCAAAAGCCACATCAATACATTTTTGAATAGGTTTTGCTAATTTAGAATTCAATTTACTTCTTCCAATGAAGCTTCTCTCAGGCCTCTTTAAGAAGTCAGCTTTTCGAATATGGATTGTATTAAAATAGTTAATGTAGTACAGAATTACATATATATTTTTTTGAATTTTTGAATATTTGATATGATAAAAAGTAGTGTTTTTTAAATTAATGTTTATTACAATGAAACTTGTAAATTCATATAAACTTTCTTATATATTTAATGTAATTAAAATAATTTTGTTTTTTATCTTGCTTGTATCACAAAGTATTTTTAAATTATCAATTTAATTTAATTTAATTTAATTTAATAAAAATAATTTTCATATATTTTAATTTTTATATTTATTACATATTATAATATAATAATATCTGCTGTAGCAACATTTTCATAGTATAAAAAATTCAAAAGTTTCAATATGAGTATACATAACTCATTAAAAATAATTTTTTTTAATATACATATATTATTTGTATACATATATTATTTGTTTTTATTATTAATATTTAAATATAAAATTATGTGCGTAATTTTTTAAATAGTGACATTTAATTTTTAAATTATTTTATTAATTTTACAATTGCTTAAATTTTGTTTATTTCAAACAATCGTTAATGCAAAATATTTGCTTCCAAATTTTTTTTTTCTATATATCTACTCTCGGTGGAGTAAATAATAAAAAAGTTTACAAAAACAACAAAATGACTTTATTTAATTCTCAAACAAAGTCTAGCTCCAAACCGGGCTCAAGGCCAGCCTCAATATTGACAGCAACAGCGTCTTTTTCAGCATTGCTCTCCTCTTTAGGCTTTTTTGTTTTGGACTTTTCTTTCGACGTGAAACCCAATAAGCTTAGGCCACTTCCACGTCGAGAAGAGTGTCCTAACTGTTCGAATCAGGAATCCACCAAAACATGCCAACGCATTAGGAGCTCCCCCTTTGGCAATTCACGCACATCCATCCAATGCGCAACTTCTTCTGGTCCAGATGAGTTTAGCCCAAGACTAAACCAACCGACCATTTCATTTTTCTTCATATTTCGTTTCGCATATACTGAGACCATAAGCGTAACATCATTCAATTGAAAGAGTGCCACCTATTTTTATATTTTTAAGAAGTTTAAAAAAATTTTTATTAATTTATTTACTTAATATAACTAGCATATCTAATTCGCATCTAAAGCTATATCATTTAAGTTCTTTTTTTATTTATTTTAAATTTTAATCAAATTCTTCAATAAGTTGTACTTACCTGAAACACAAATGTTTCTTTAAATAAGGGATTCGGCTGTCCTCTTCTAGTTGATGTTTTTGCTCGGGAAATCTCTTGTCCTATACTACTAACCAAACACAATTTCACATATGTATCGGGTGCTTTACTTAATGACAAACAGCGAAATTGGCTGCCCTTAACAATTTCAACAGTTAAACGACCCGTTATACCATTATAACCTAAACCTAATAATAGCTCTGAAACACCTCCATGTTGCATTGAAGTGGTTGAGCCGGCACTTTCGGACCTTGCTAAACTTAATAAATCACTTGTTGAACCCATTATCTGAAACCGATATTTCAATTTAATAAATATTTATATAAAATTTATGATAAATATATTTACAGATGATGTGTTACGTGGCTCCAAAGGTAACCATAAATTGGTTTCTAATTCTAAATCGATTGTTGCAAAACTAACGTATGCCTCACCCACAAGACGTTCTTTTCTCAAACGCTCGCAACCATAGACACGTACACGCAAACCCATACCATTAACTTCTTCGGGATTAACACGATGCAGGAGAAAACTTTCCATATATTGTGGATTTTCTCCTGAACGTATTTTAGTCTTATGCTTCTGTTTCTTGCTTGGCAACATTAGCAATCTCACCTATAATGAAACAATGTGATTATTCTATAGTTTAATTCTTTATAAAAATTTTTTTTATAAGAAAGTATCTTACCTGTGTGTGAGTTTGTTGAATATTACCAAAGTTTGGTAGCCCTCTGGCTTGCAATACATGCACTGTCATCTTTCGCATGGGTGCATCATACAATAGGGAGATTTCAATGCTACCACTTTTGCCGTAACACTGATTTTGTACGGAGACCTCATCAGATTTCACAGAACGTAGGTCACTGGTATCAAATAAAGGTTCCTATTGGAAAATATATTATATATAATATATTAAAAGTTATTCAAAATAAAAATAATTATTGAACTTTATAGAATCTATAAATTTTATTTTTTAAATATTTAAAATGATAGTAATATGAAACAAAAAAAAAAAATAGAGCATTTCTAGGTCCACATAAATATATTATATTTTTGCATATATTTAATGGTAAACAGAAGTGGATATTCAAATAGTGATGAAATATTACTTATTTACATTTTCACAAATATACCTGTTAAGATAACATAAAAGTTTATGAAGAAACTAACTTAATTAAGTTATTAAATAGAGTGAACTACATTTTGAAATGTATACATTTTTAGACCGTCAGAAAGTAAGATTATAGATTAATTTAAAAAACAGTACGTACATCTTCATTATTATTGTTGTTGTTAATATGGTTATTATTAGTTTGCAAATCGGGTACATCATCTAAACTATCCTGTCTCTGGGAACTTGTTGAGAGTTTTTGCAGTTTGATGGGCTTAATAACATCTGCTTTTGTTTCAATGCGTGATTCTTTGAGAGATGAGGCAGCACTTCCATCTGTAGTTTTATTTGAACCAATTATCTGTCGATCTAACAAATTAAAACCATACAAAAATTATTTAATACGCATTATTCAATGTGGTATCTAATAATATGTTATAATTATGATCTTTATTTAAGATCTCTAAAATGTAATAGATCTATTATTTATATTTATGGAAACTATTACGATATTCACCTCTCTTATCTGATATTAAAAGACCCGTATGACTATCAATGGATGCCTCGACGGAATCATTTGAACTGCATTCACTATGTGATGATGGAATTCCAACTTTGCCACGTTCTGCTATAGCTAATGGATCATCTCTGGATGACTCACGCGGTGTAACAGTGACTCGTTGCAACTCACTTTGATTATAACTATAATTATGTGATAATGGACTAAATTGATTTATTCCGTAACTAGTAAACTGCCCGTTGGCCTTTAAATTATTGTTACGTTGCTGTTGTAGGCGAAGACGTCGCAAAATATCTTCTTCTGAATCAGAGCTGGTATTTTCATAACGTCGTTTGCGTGCTTTAATTGTCATATACATATATAACGTATAGTTTAGAAAAATTATTCTATAAAATATTTATACTTACATATTTTTTGTACATATTTGGATGGGAAATTTTTTTCGTTGCAACAATTTAAACCATGACGTGCATGAAAACACCATTTACGATTAACATACAAAAAAAATAAAAACATCAAAGCAATAACTCCAAAGAATGCACCTAAAACTGTTGTAATCTCAACGGTTCCTAAACAAAAAAGAAGAAATTTATAATTTTAATATGTAAATCGTTCGTGACATATATGCGAGTATATATAATTTAATATATGCCTACTTTTGTCTACGCTATCAAACATAACCTTCAATCGCTCCGTCAAAAAAAAAGAAAAATTAACTTGTCGTTCGAATGTCCAGTGGGCAACTAAATTTATTTGAACAATTAACAATTGCGTTGAACCTATGGGAATTTCCAATACGAAGTCATTTTCATAAAACGAAATTAATGACGTAATCTAATCTTATAAGTAATGACGTCCACCCAATTTATAGTTAAATGCGTTTCAGTTTTTTGATACTCAATTTATAGATTAATTTATGTAATTGCATGTCGCTGAAAACCAATGTCGTTATGTTCTTAACTTAATAAGTTTACCTTTAAATTACAAGTGAAAGTTAAATCAAATTTTAGTCTTTATAAATTTTATGACATAATATACTATACGAATATATTAATGTTTTCCACTTCTCTTAAGAACACTGCTATTATTTATTTAAAAAAGTGTTCTCCTTCTCCCCCATTAATAATTTTCTGTTTATTATTTGCATATGGGAAATTAAATATTTGGCCCCTATAAATATGCAGTTGTATTTAAATGAAAACTTATTGTTGGATTTGAATCACCAATCCAACAGCCTTCTGCTCGCTGCAAAGAAAATACAGATAAAGTATAATAAATCTACTTCTCCGAACTACTATGACAAGAAATCTAGTTGCGGATAATGGTTTGGCTTTGGTTTCTTTATTACAACAAGTAAATCAGTTACGAGTTAGGTACTAATTTCTTTAAAAAACTTAAAGCAGTTTTATAATAAGTCTACTACTTTATAAGTCTACTAATCGACCAAATTATGGATTTCGTAAATCGAGTATATTCTAGAAGTACGCAAGATTGTTTTAGCGTTTGATACCTTAGATAAACAGAAAAATAATTCCCTTAGACCTCTAAAATCTCGTTTTTTAAGTATTTGAAGAAGTATACTCGTATTATAACCATATATCTAATTGTATATATTATTAGTTATACAAATAATAATGAAAACATAGATTCACACTGTTCAAATTATACAATTTATTTTAAATACAACTCAAAAAAAATTATAGGTGTAGTATTGGACAACACATTAACCACTACACTAAGAAACACATTACGAGCAGAAGACTACCAATAAAAGACCTTACACTGAAGTAGGAAGATTTCTAAGCCCTAATATAGGCTGGAAACCTAATATCATCGCATTCCAAAACACATGCTCATTCTGCCTCATTATTCATCCGCATCATTCATCCGCTTTCATTCTCATTCAACTTTATAACCTTAGGTATAAACCACGTAGTTCAAGTTTACTTACCTCTTACCTCTTAGGCTTTATGAAAAGTTGGGCTACAACAGCAGCTTAACAAACCAATAATTCACTTATGACATAAGTTTTATTATTTATCTATATACAAGAAAGCACAAACAGGACTTTTCAAAGGTAGATAAAGGATAAAGGTAGGTCATCTATTAGAAATTACATGCCTCTGCATAGCATTCTTTCTGCAGTAAGAATATGAATAATATAGTGTCCAATTTAAATCAGCATCATTTAGATCATGGAATCTAAATTCCATCAGAATTGTTTGTAAATTCTTTACAAAAACCCATTGTGCACCTGAGAAACATTAATTTATCGCATATCGACTCCACTTTTGGCCTAACAAAAAATTGTGTTTGATTTACACAGGATGACAGACGGCCAAGAATTATTTACAGTGTTCAACATTTGTTATAGATTCCGAAGGAATGCCATAATATCTCTGTTTCTGTTCGTCAGAATATCATCAAATTCTGTCTATTCATCAACTTTACCAAAGTATATAACTGTCAATAAATGTTATACAATGAGAAACCATTCGACTTGTTTCAATAAAATTTCAATAAATATGAATTATAGGTTGGTTTTATGTTTTAAAAAGAAATGTGATTATTTTTATTTTCGGTTTCTTATTAATAAAACAAAAGCACCACCACAAAACAAATTCAATTATAAAGCTTGTTAAACATTAATGAAAAATATAGTTGATGAGCAACGTATTGAACATTTAAAAATTGAGAGAATTAGTCTAAATAAAAACAGAGGTAGGAATAAGAATAGGAATAAACGGGATACTAGCTCCCAACGGAGTGGAGCACTGTGACCATGATTGATCTTTTGTGCTACAACGGACTCTAACTGAACAGAAGACATTCCTCCGTCCGAATGAAAATCAGAATATCGGTCGTTGAGGACCACCTAATGTCAAAAGGGAAGAGTAGTTCTCGACCCAGTGACTTCCTTCTAGCCCAGATCAAGGCTGGACACTCACAGAGAATGTGACTAAAACAGAGGTAATTATATAAAAACAGAGGTAGTTATATATATTAAAACTGAAATGAAATTGAAACTGCACATCATGAAACACCAGAACATCGTGAAGGGAAAAGACAGGGTCAATACAACCCCGTTAATAAGTTTAAATTAAAAATATTTTTTTTGATTTTTAATGTCAAAATTAATACATTTTATTATTTGTTATGTACTTCATAGTTAATTTCAGCTATTTTCATTTGAAAAAAAAATAATTAAAATTTTAATTTAACGAAAGCAATAGTTACCTGGAACAAAGGGACTAGAACATTTTTTGCGTGCTGCCTGTAATACATTTCTTAATACCTGGCGCTTGTAGTTAAATAAATTAATACGAAATATTGATTAAATAGCTTTAAACGAAAGTTGTTGCATTAATAAATAGAGAAAAAAAACATAAATTTTTTATAGGTATGAGTACGTTTTAATACCTGTCATGGAAAAATACTTCAATGTCAACTCTTACCACAATAAATAAAATAGCGATTTTCCCAGCCCAATATAGTCGAGTTTAATGAACGAGACCAACACGCAGTTCTTAATTGTTCTGCAAGTGGGGTGAAGTATTACTAACACCGCACTACAAAGTTTTACAAATATTTATCATATGTAGATATGCACATATGTATATATTATTGAGTTTTTTGTTAAGTATAGTAATATAAATATTAGGAAAGGAACCTTAATACTGTTACCATGCACATACAGTGTACCCAACACTTTATTATTAGTTTGAGAAGATTAAGTAGAATTTAGTTTAACAAAATGCTTGTAATGCTATGTACAAAATATCGAAGATTCCTTATGGGACATATACTCTTAAATAACTCCATTAATTAAATAGTTTTATCTGTATCCATCTGCATTGCATCTGCATTAATGCCAAATAGTTTCTCAATTTTTATGCTAAATTAATGAAAATTGGCAAATAGATGCATTTTAATCAATTTTAGAAATAACACATATTGCAAAGCTATATACCAAAATTATTATATGAACTATACCATCAAAACAAAATTATCTTCATTTTTTATAAACGTGTTTAAATCAAACAACACGTTAAAGTCGTCATTAAACACGTTAATGACGACTTACAGTGTTATATGTCACAAGAATCGATATTATTTTAGATACTTTTGAATTCCTCCTGTGAATTAATTATTAATTAATTATTTTGAAGTATGTCCCTCTGGACCAGGCTGTTAAAAAAATATTAGTCCAACTCCTATTAACCTATCACAAAAAGTTATAATATGTTAATTAACTTAAATGCTAATTAAATTTATTTCCGTTGCACTCTTATTAACAATGGTCGAAGAACTTTCATCCACTAATTATCAATCCAAACCATAAAAAATTACCATTATTCATCTTATTTATATCAAATATAATAGTATAATCTTATAGTCTAGACTTGGCACCAAGTGATTATCATCTGTTCCTGTCAATGGCGAACAATAGACAGCCCCTCAAATAAACTTAAGTGTTAAACATGTCTGCTGTCTGTTAACGTTTTTAACCTTCTTATTTTACACTATGCAATGAAAATAACAGAAACATAATTACTAACAACTTGTACTAAAAACGCTACTATTTATCAAATTGATTGATATCTTGCTCTATTTATTTAAAATTACAGGACTTAATTCTTTAGCTCAACAGATATTCTTACACTTTACTTTAATTTTAGGGTATTATATAGCATTTTATACATTAGAGATTAGTGACTAGTTGTTCTTGAAGACAATACTTAAATAATAAGAATAAAATATAATTAAAATGTTTTTATTTGGAAAAAACTTAATGTGTAAAATTTTATTTTGCATGTAAATAGAATAACAGTTTATCCCAAATAAACGAGTTACAGAAATTTAATATAAATAAATTTTTTAATAAATATTTTGTTCTTGTAATATATGTAGTTTTTTACCATTTGAATTAAATGAAACTATTTCTTATATAAAACTACAGTACGTATCATAAAACTTCAATTTTTATTAAATGAAAAGTTTTGTAGGTTACAAGGACATTAACCTATTTAACTACCGCAATTACACATATGCGAGTATATACAAATATGTATGCGCTACCGTACAGTTGCTCCAAATACAAACTTCGTAATGTAAACGTAAGCGTGACATGTTTTTTCTTTTTTTTTTGAACAAATTTAAAAATATTAAATGACAGTTGCTATTATATTTCGAACTTACCATTTAAATAGTAATTATCCACACCAGAAATAACTATCATTTTACTTCAACGACAACTTATCGATAATCGATCACACGTTCCCAATACTTGTTGATGTACTTTATGTTTATCGATTTATGTAAAACTCTAAAAGATATATACAATTAATTAAAATTTAATACTGTGATTTCTGGCTTTACACGTTATCTAATTTTCATTTTTCTATAAATATATACAAATTAACTATATGTATATGGTATGTATCAATGTACATAAATGTAAATATATCCATAATATTATTATGCGCGTATATAATAAAAACAAACAATGCACAAATTGGCACCTAACAAATTGGAAGGTAGAGAAAAAGCTTTTCATTTTTCAGAACAATAATAACGTATTTTAATAGCACTCGAACCACAGAGTCGTTTTATATACACGGATTATGCCATTATTGATTTTTCGTAATACTTTTTTTTGTGTATATTTTCCATATTTAAATATAAAACTTAATTTTTGTTATATTTAAACGCACCTTTTCATAAAACTATTTTAAATATTTTTAACTCTTTATAGGTGTTAAGCATTTAATGTTATAATATTATTTTATTTGGGGAAAACAAAAAAAAATTTCATAAATAAAATGTTTTTAATCTGGTTCGCGTTGATTTTTGTTGCACTTTTCACGTATCATTTGTCGATATTTTTATTAAATTATTATATTAAGACAATTAAAAACTATTTTTTATTAATTATAATTAAATTTATACTAAGTTACAATAATAATAATTTTAAATCTAAAATCTTTGCACTAGAACTCAACTAATGACCGAGTGCAGTGAAAACTATTTGTACATAGTTAATACCTATGCATGAATCAGATGTCCTAAGCTTTCCTTCCAAAAAGCTTTATCCTCTTGACTTGACATTTCCAATGAATTACTTATCAACTGTTGCTTTTTGAATGAAAGATGAAAATCAGATGTAATTAGATGTGTATTCCCCAAATTTATAATTGTCAGTTAAAGGCTGGTGGCAAGTTTTGCCAAATTAATATTAAAATTAGAAAAATTTGTTATTTTTACTCCAATAAAAAAATCAAAATTCAAATTTAAGGTCGATATTTTTACCTTGGTATATATTTAAACACTATTTGACCAAAAAATCAACCAAGTATTACTTACATTGACCTAAATTCAAATTATTGTAATCGACCGTATATTTTGTTAAGCAATAGTTTTAGCTTATTTTATGAAATCTAGACGAAATTTCTTTAATTTGACATTGATTTTAGAAAAAAAAATATTTTTCCAAATAAAATATTAATTAAAAATAGATATATATAATGTAATAAATAAATAAAAATAATTAAATTAAATTTTTAAATATTAACAAGATATTTTAATATAATACAAACATCTTTTTCTCACGAAAAATTTACATAAAACTCTATATAATTTTGTACCATTGCAAAATATTTTTTAATATATACTTTTATGACAATTTTTTGTGTGATATGGATGTTAATACTATGCTTAACTACTAAGCCAAAACCAAACGACGTTAATTAATCAGTTATTTTAATATATAAAAAAAACTGCAATAACTGCTATAATTTTTACTAATTATTAGCTTACTAAACGAAGTGACAAATAGTAAGTAGATGTATTAAATACCTTAATTTAATACTATGTTCGGACACACCTTAATTTCGCAAAAATCTTAATTTCATCTTTGTTTCAGCGAAATTAATTTGTTTTTTCCATATAAATTTCAGTTTTAAGGTTAGAACGAATAATGTCCCTGAAATTAAGGGACATTTTAAATGCAAGTATGCGTAAGTTAAATTTGAAGTTTGAAATTTGAAGCAAAAGATAAAGTTGAGACAACGAAAAAGTGACATTTTATTTTAAATAAATATCAGTGACAGTTTAATAAAACTTTAATTAACAGTTTAACAGTTTAAAAACTTTAATAAAACCGGGAAAATATTTTGAAAATAGTGCAAATATTTAAGTTTGAATATACAGAAAGCACTGTAACTGTTATTAATTTAAAATAGAGTGAAAAATAGTAATCCACATACCCACTAAAGGTAATAAAACTACTGAATGCCATCTTTTATAGTTCTAATTATTAATTTTTAAGATATTTTTAAGATATAATTTCGCATATACAAATGATGTTTTGAGCATGTAATTTTTAACAATCAATTTGTGAACAAAAAAACACTTTTAAAATACAATAACTTATGTGCTGTAAAGTTAAAATTATTCATATTACACCTAACAGCCAGAACTTATTAAATTATTGAAACATTATTAATTATCCTTGAATTATATTCTTGAAATAAATAATAAAATTTCAAACTTTGTTGAAATTATTTATGTTACCACTAATAAACAGAACTTGTAAAAAGTTAAACAGATCGAGCTGAAATCTAATTAACACCAAAATCCAAATAAACAATTTCAATTCAAATTTCAAGAATTTCAGTTCATATTTTTAGAATTTTCCAACACTGTTTGAAAGATTAAAGAACTGTCAAATGTTATATTAGCATTTGTTAATTTCTTTGTGAACGCGCGTGTTGTGTGCGTCTATTGGAGAGTGCCGGCATTTTGATAATAAATTTGTTGAATATTATTAAAAAATTGTTTAAACTTTATTAATTTCAAAACATAATTACTAACTTAAGCAGCACTAAAATGTTTTGGGGTGAGTTATAATATCATTACCTGTTTCAAAATTATTTTTAGAAAAAATTATTTTCCACGTGTTCCAAGAAATTGTAAAATTCATCATATATTGGTTTTATTAAGTAAATAGCAAAACTAATGTAATCATACCAAATATGTGTTTTTAATACGTGTGTATATATATTTGTTGTTTGTTTGCAATATTGGACACTTAAAAATCTTAAAAAATTTTACAACAAAAACATACTACCATAATATGTAATATTAAATTTTAGCCGCATGTTCTTAAAATATAAATTTTATATATAAATTTAATTATTGTATAAAAATTTTGGCATAAGTAACAATAGAAACTTTAAAAATAATAAATTTGTCTTTCGCTGCACTGAAAAATGCATAAAATATTTGGAAGGAGTCTAACGGGCAGACCGTAGATATATACTATTTGTTTTTTCTATAATCTTAGACTATAGGATTGTTTTACATATATAATTTCAAATCAAACTAAACTATGCGTTACGTGCTATTATTTTTTTTCCTAGTTCTTAAATATTGCGAATTAATAAAAATATTAATCATTTTTAATGAATTGCAGGTCTAAATTTAAAACCTAACAGAAAATACACCCAAACCACTACCAAGTCGTTTCATATATCCCAAGCAGCTCTGGATATAGAGTCCGCACAAGACGATACGAATAAAATCTACATTGGTTCTGAAAACCAAAAGTTTCTGATATGCACTTTGCGTAAGGGGAAGTGCGAGCAAGTTATGCTCGATTTGAACTTTATGGAAGGGGATACTATCTGCTTCCAAAGCGTAGGTATGTAAACAGTTTATACTATTTGAAATTTCAACCATAAACATATGATCTTATAATTAGGTAGCGGCAATGTAAGCTTGGCTGGTTACTTGATTGAGGTAAGCTGAAAACACCATTTTTTTGTTTGATTTTATTAAATACTAATATCCAAATCCATATATTCTCAGAACACGGAAACTGATGATGATGAAGATCCCGATTTCGATATAAATGATTTGCGCGAAAAGCTTACTAAATCTGCTAAAAAGGGAAAATCTGTTGAAGGTAAAGCTGATGCTGATGCTGATAGTGATGAAGAGGAAAGCGATGATGATAACGATGAAGACGGTGTAAGTGATGGGCTGGGCGAGGAAGATGATAGTGAAGAAGAAGATGATGACGAAGATGATGATGAAGATGAGGATGAAGAAGACGAGGAAGATGATGATGAGGATGAAGAGATGGAAGAGCAACCGAAAGCTAAACAACCTAAACTAGAAAAAAAAGTAGAAAAGAAGCCTCAACAAAATGGCGTTGCAGGTAAAGCATCAAAACACGAAAAGAAAGACAAAACAAAACCAAAACAACAACAACAACCACAGCAAAAACAGAAGGAAACTGGTAGTGAACGTGCATTAACTGGTGGAGTAAAAGTACAAGATTTGCGTGTGGGTGCAGGAGCAGAAGCAGTTCGTGGTAAACGCGCCAATGTACTCTATGAAGGTCGTTTGAAGTCTGACAATCGTGTATTTGATTCTAATAAATCTGGCGGAGGTTTCAAATTTAACATAGGAAAGGGAGAAGTTATTAAAGGCTGGGAAGTTGGAGTAGTTGGCATGAAGGTAGGAGGTAAACGTCGTATTACATGTCCACCACATATGGCGTATGGTAGCCGTGGTCATCCACCAACTATTCCACCTAACAGCACTCTTGTATTCGAAGTTGAACTTAAAGGTGTAAATTAAGTTAATTGCTTTTCCTTTTTTTCTTTTTTTTTATATACATTCAAATTTTTATAGTATAAGTTTCCAGCATTTTTTAACTTTAATTCGCTTTTATTGTTGATTAATTTAAAAGTTTTTATTACAAAGTTTTGAATTCTCTGATATTTAAAAAATTTTCTTTTAAATCAGAATATTAAGTTTCTTTCTGCATATAAGTTTATAAATAAAAATAAATGTAGTCTATTTATTATTGTTTTATTTATATGGTTTTCAAATCATTTCAGGTAGTTTTCATCTCAAAACAAAAGCTAACAACTCAATTTAAGATATTAAATAGACCTAATGTAGTCTATATGTATATATCTGATAATATGAATCTGTTATATGTTGTAAATATCGTAGTATATTATGGTATTCTGTGACATTGTTCCTTATGACGTTTTCATTGTCAGTAACTGCTCATATTTTAGTTTATGGAGAAGTACTTCATTTGAGAAAAGCAACACAAAAGATAGAAAAGCGAAGTACATACATTTAAAACATTACCGAAGCACTGTTTTCAAATATTTAGCCAGGATTTTTTGATAAATAGAGTGCTGTTCTGATCCTTCTTAATATTATGTAATTAATAGATATAGATAGTACAGTCTGGATGTGTTCATATATTGACATTTCTGTTTCTCATGATGTCGCCCAATTATTAAATTGATGCTAAATGTAGTCTACTTTGACTTGTTTAGACGAAATAAGGTTATCCCCATACCATTTTTTATTTTGTTCCTCAATTTTTCGCAAAGATATGGAATATATCTTATTCTAGACTTTCATATTTCACATGCGTATCAATGCTGGTTATGTAGGATGGTATTCAAAACAGTTCCTCCTTGCATATCACACAAATATATTATGATAAATAATTTATTTAATGTTTTCTGCAAAATTGAGAAACGTGATGCCGCTTATTGATGGCAAGTAACACCCGTTTAGATCTAAACACATATTAGCGCATCATTATTTTCCAAAAATTATTATAAAAATAATTTTGAAATTATTATTAGTTATTCCAAGAGGCAGTTGTTTTGGCCTAATTATTTTTTCTCTAATATTTTACATCAATTCCTTAAGTGTTTTAACCGGATTTCAGAATCCCCTAAAGTCATTGTTGTAGCCTGAGTACTTCAGTGTTCTCTATGATTCGCCTTATAAACGATTGAACTCAGATAGTTGTAAGGGTTCCAAAAACAGCCGGAACTACATCCCGAAGCCACTCGTCGAAGACGACCAAGCGCCGTTCAACCGCCAAATCAGGACTTCACAAGAAGGTCCCAGCGGGTTACAACAACAAATAGTCGTAAGCTTCACTTGATCTGAAAATATCAGACGTAGACTCTGCCACTTTGCGAACATACTCGATTATTCTCCTACACTTTAGTTTCATCAAGATAACAAGGATCTCGGATATGAAATAAACTAGACTCACCTTACTATTTTTTCTCTATACTGTACTCTGTTTACTAGTCATATTCTTTATTTTTAAATACCTTCATATTATTATACATTTATTTTCAAGAACTCCGAATTTTTTGTGATCTATCTAAAGAATATTTAACATTATTCATTTAAAACCTTAATTTATATCAACTATATAGTAATCCGAAAACTCAAATCAATATTGTCTATATTTCAAAAACATTTTATTTGATTTTTTTAAATCAATATATATTTAAACCAAAGATTTATTTTATCCTATTATTAAAATAGGAAATTATATAAATATTATATTAACAAATTAATTATTCCTTTTTTTCTGCATTGTTACTAGCTGCTTCTTGCTCAGAACCAAATAATGGTTCTGACGGTAATTTCCAAAACTCAGGTACATATGGCAAACGTTCACTTGGATCAGTACTCCAATGGTGTATGCGGCATTTTACTGTTGCATTTTCTAAATTATTTATCACCACAGTACAGAAAAAAATTTTACCTTCCTTGTTCATATCAGGACCTTCGATACGTTCCTTTGGCAGTGTAATACAGTCCTCAGGACAAACAAAGCCAGCTTTCCTTAAAGAAGCTTTTATATGCCATTTTTCTATAACCCATGGTTGATCCTTATTCATGACAACACCCAACAACAAACCATTTAACATGTTTACAGTCTAAAAATATTATATATAAACTTAACAATTACAATAATATAAAAATTTTAAATACTCTTTGCGCATACGGTGAACTATGGGTTGATTTATCTTTTTCCATTTCTGTTTTTGCATATTGTTTGACACTTTCTTCTGTCTTATACACAGCAAGACCAGGCAATAACAATTTATTGTAGGCAAATGTTGGCCTGGCCGCTACAACATCACCTTTATCGCCCACACCCTCAACGTATGTTTTGAGAACCACCTCTAAATCTGGACGCTTTTTTATACCAGTGTCTTCAACTAAGTCATATAAGAAGTGTTTTGCACGTAACCTCCTAGGTGGGCCATTTTTCTTTGCAAGCGGAGGCTCATATCGACGTTTTAATATAAACGTGGTCTACGGAACAGTTTATTAATAACTTTTATTAAACATCAATATACATCAATACACACCCGCACTTGCTGTTCCCAGGCTATTGAAGTTTTTAACAATTTTATTTGTGAACTACAAAAGCTTTTAAGCATTTTAATTTATGAAATGTATTTTTTATAATTAAATAGGAAATCTCATAACATCTGCGGCATATGTTCCCCACAGCTGTGTTTGACGTTTATTCTACAATTTAAAAACAAATGTGCAGAACATTAAGCGGCACATACACGATGTATACTTCTAAACCGATAATGCAGTTCTTAAAGAAGTTTTTTACGGTAGATAGAAAACATCGAAAACAGTCGAAACTTTTCAAAAACACCTCTTAGTAATATAAGGCTGCAAAATGCAGTCATTGGACCGTAGAAGTCAGAAACTGAAACCTTATTCTAATAATCATGGTAAAGGAGATATCATAATGCAAAAGGTTTATTACCATATTTAGTCAATAAATATATGTGGGTCTATTCTTCAATAGACAATTAAATTGAAGTGTACACAAAAATTTGCTTTTCCTCAACTGTGAATAGTGACGTTTTCTGTCAAAAAGTGTATACTTTTTTATTCACTTATTAATTTTATTCAACGTTTATTTGGCAAAGAGTTTTTGGAAGATATTTTATATTATTTTTTAAATTTTTTAAAAATGGAAAAAGGTTAAACAGCAATCGTGGACCAAAAGTTTGTACTTGAATATCAATGTAGAATTTTCCAACGATAGAAAAACTGTGAACTTTTATGTTACAAGAATTGTAAAAATATAAATATGTAAAAAAAATTTTAATATAAAAATTCTTAAAAAATTGCATATTAATTAACATTATATGTTACATCTTTGATGAAACTTTAATAGTTTTTAAAGTTATTTTTTATAATTTCAAAATTAAAAACGGGATCTATGATTTCACTATTTATGTTTTATTCAAAATTAATTTGTTAAGTTCAATTGCCACTTGCGCACTTCACCGAACCGACCGTCTTCGTCTGCGAGTAAAATAAAAAGAAAGAAACCCAAAGGCAAAAGTGCATTGCACAACCGTATTAAAAGAAGTAAAGGCAAGCGTTGCCATATAGTTAATTTGAGATGAGCTTTTTATCGGTTGAAGTGCGCAAGTGGTGAATAGAGATTAGTATTTAACATTAATTCAAATGAAGTTAAAATAAATAAATTAAATAAAATAAATATGTTTGTAAATGTCTTAACACCGGCCACGTTGAAGCACCATAGGTGTTCAAGTTGGAAGCAACCCCAATTTGTGAATTGGCCTTCTTATGACTCCATTCTTTGTTCTAACGTCTACCACTCGTACCCTGCCGTCGCTCCCGACTACCGTACCTTGGACCCTGCCGATCAACCATTGGTGAGGGGGAAGATTGTCTTCGTGGACAACGACGAGACGGCCGACTGCTACGTTCGGCTGTTCCAAGATCCATTTGGTTTTTGTTTGCAAGTTGAGGATATAGTCCTTGGACCAGGCCCGCCAGAATCTGCGTTTGAGCTCGCATAGCAGCCGCCATCTCTGCGCATAATTCAGATTGCTGTTTTGCACGTCGAGCGTTGATTCTTGCGGCAGCGTGCGCAGAGAATCCCCTATTAGTAGATGTGCTGGTGTTAGTGCTTGACCGTCGTTTGGATCTTGGCTGAGAGGTTCGATTGGTCTTGAATTGAGAACGGCTTCCACCTGAATTACCAATGTTTGCAGTTCCTCGTTGGTTAGCATTGCGCTGCCCGCTGTTCGAAGTAATAGATGTTTCGCGGACTTTACGGCGGCTTCCCACAATCCTCCGAAATGTGGTGCGCGAGGCGGTATGAAGACAAACTCGATTCCCTCTTGTGCAGCATATGACACCAGCTGGTCTTTCTGTACTTTGAACGTTTGTTGCAGTTCTTTCAGCTCTCGGCAGGCTCCCACGAAATTTGTTGCGTTGTCGCAGTAAATTCGATCTGGCAATCCTCTCCGTCCCACGAACCTTTTAAGACAAAGAATAAAACAATTAGAAGATAAATTAGAGACTAGTTCAAAATGTACAGCCTTAGACGTGAAGCAAACGAAAACGGCAATGTATGTTTTAACTGGTGGTCGACCACGTATTTTTAATGTTGTATACATGGGACCACAAAAATCAACACCTGAAATCAAAAAAGGACGCGTTGCTGTGACTCGATCAGTTGGCAAATTTCCCATTATTTGAGTCAGAAGTTTCGGTTTATAGCGAAAGCAATGTGTGCAACTTCTTACAGTTTTACTGCAAGCTGCTTTCGCGTTAACAAGCCATATCTTTTGCCGCAAAATTGACCCTAACGCCTTGGGACCTGCATGACAATTATTTAAATGTAGATGCCTTAAGTAGATATTAATAAAATGGCAATTTTTTGGCATGAGGAGTGGAAACTTGGAATCATGGCTAATTGGGGCATTGAGCAACCGGCCTCCCACACGTAACAGTGTTACTTTATTGGGGCCACAATTTGTATCGTGCAGAAATGGAGTAAGTTTCTGCATGC